AAGAAAAGAAAGGTGATTGTTAAGGGACACAGTTCCAGCTCTGTAACTCATGCCTTCCTATAGCTGCGTTTTTTTCAATCATGTAATTCGTATTCCTCTGAGCCTCCTAGAAATGTATTAGGAAAACCACTGATATGAAAACTTGAACATTTTGGAAGAAGATCTGTGTAAATTTCTCATGTTATTATTCCCAAGTCTCAAAATCTAGCTCAGAAGGAACATGTGCAGTAGAGGTCTTTAGTCTGTTCTGGTTTTAACTTCCTCCCAACAAAGACTGTGCATCTTTACATCTGATACAGTTTCTCTGGGTCATGGTTCCTCAATATAAAAGGAATCGGTTGGCCTCTATTATCTACCACAGTCCTTCCAACTTTAACATTTTATGATTCTAGCATCTATGAAAATATCATTATTGGGAAGCCAAGGTTAGTTTTTGTTATGAATCAAAAAGACCAGATGTTCAAATATAAACAACCAGCTGCCTAGTGGGTACTAGACACTTGAGGACAGCAAGGGAGCAAGGAAGGCTTGTGTGTCGAGCACAGCACAGATACAGCAGGCCAAAGAGGCATTCATGGAATACCTGGAAAGGGACATTAAAACCAGTAATGATGGGTTTTTGTTCTGTGTTTAGCATCATCAAAGGGAAGAAGACGGTTAAATCAGACCATCTAATGATCATGGTGCAAAAGGTGCCCTAAGGGAAGGAAATGAAATACTATAGTAGACCGAAAGACTGTTTGCTGGGAAGCCACTTGGGAGGTTCTTTTTCCTAAACTGTCTTCTCAGGCAGAAATGTCTGAAGCAGAAAAACAGAGCTAGACACAGAGAATGTTCTGGTCCCATCCGTAAGAAAGCCCTAAAATAACTTTAAGCACAATCAGAGAACAAATTTTTGGCCTGTCACTATGAACTATTCCTAGATCAGTGATTGCTGTGTGGTTCCCATTTTATCAAGAGTATCATGAGGGACAGGGCAAGGATGGGGTGGACCATGGTGATCATAGGACCTTAGCAGTGAAAGAACCCCTATCCATCCTTCTAACCTCTCTTTGGAAAGCAGAAACAAGTGGTACCCAGAAAATTGGATTATCATGAAATATCCATTTCTTCCTAAAGTGATGCTAAGGCTCAGCTTCTGAAAGAAATCTGGAAGGAAACAAGAGAAAAGGTTTTCTCCTCTCTGTAGGGTGATGATACAGATAATAATTAACAACAATAAAATTACTACCATCAATTAAGTGCTTTCTATGTACCAGTCTGTGACATACAGGTTTGCCAGGTTTGACTACCCAGTTTGAATCCTGGTTCACCCACTTCTTGGCTTGTTGATCTAGGCAAACTTCCTTAACTCCTTTGGCCCTTAGCATTCTCATCTAGAAATAATAATGGACTCTATGTTATAGGGTCGATATGAGATAGAGATTAGAGTAATGCCTAGTTTGTACTTAGACTCAACAAATATCAACTATTACAACTATTACTATTAGTCACTTTACATGTATTATTCCATCCAGTTATTCAACACTATGAGTTAGGTACATACATCAGTAGTATCACCAGTTAACAGACAGGACATTGCAGATCATAGAAGTTAAATAACTTGCCCAAGTTACTGGTTTGTGTTTCAGAACTGGAAAGGATTAACAATAATAAACTTGCATTTACTGACAGTCTAAATGAATGTTGAATTTGATTTTATATGGCAAAATGACACAATTTATTATAACTATGAGAAAATTTTGAGTTCTTTTAAGGTGGTTCTCTTAGGTTTACTCTGTATATGAGGAAGAGTTTGGAGAGAGACAATGAAACCACTAGCGACCTATTGTACTAACACAGTTGTAAAGAGAAAATGCCTCAAACCATGGGCCAGTTCAGACTAGAAAGATAAGTCAGAGAGATAACCTGAAGTGGAAGAGAAGGGGGCCAGTGGAAAAGAAGAGTCAAAATCACCCATTTTAATACTAAAGGGCCCAAAGGATGGTGATCACAGGCAAAAATTGGGAAGTTGGGAGGGCAATTGGCAGTGCTGAGTTTACTTTAAGGTGGTCAGAGCATGGGATGAGTGTTTTGGGGACTTAAGATTCTGCCCCTGGTATCTCTGTGCCTGTTTCCTCTTTTATAAAATGAGGAGTTGATCTAGGATTAATCCTTTGGATTCTTTCCAGCTTCCTAGACAAGCATGTAAATAAAATATAGAATGTAGAAGGAGGATTTCAGGGATTAAAGAGTCAGTGAGAGATCAAGGTATTGGGTTGTTAGTCTGGTTTTGAAGTAAAAGAAAAAAAGGGACAATGCTTGATTTTTTTTGAAAATTAAAGAAAACTGTGCCTTTTAAGAAATAATTTAGGCAGGATAATTAATACAGCCACATGTAGAATGGAGGACATCTACAAATTAACCTAAGGAATCTAAAGTAAAATGTGTAACGAAGTCAAATTTATAGGAGAAAGGAGCTTCAGTCTGTGTGGTGTGATGTGAAGGTGTTAGGAAAGTCCAGCTGCCCCAAAACAATGTCTTCCTGACCCTCTTAAAATACTGCTTGGATTTACACTGTTAAAATAAGCCCTTCTGTAGTTTGTATTGTAAAATGCACATTTATTTCACAGCCAGCTGCTGTCATGCTTTCCAGTGAATTAGTATAGCAGGCTGACAAGTAGCAAAGGACAGTCAATGAAGGAGACAAAGATTTGAAGGGGGGGTAGGAAGGGATCTTTTTGGTATGTGTGGAATTGCTCAAGTCAGTCAGTTCAACAACATGTGGGTGCCTATTCTGCCCCAGACACTGAGCTAGGGATAAGAGGTAAAGAAATTGTGGTTTGTTGGCTCAAGGAGCTTCCAGTCCAGAGAGTGGACTCCATGAGGATCACAGGACTGAAAGAGCTTTGAAAAGTTGGATCAGGGACCCAGAAAGGAAAAGTAGAGGGGTAAAGAAGATTCTCTTCCATGACAATTGTGTTGAAGGATTGGACACTCAAAGGACTGCTTTTTCTTGGTCCCAAAATTTGAGCTGGTAGGTTTGACATTCTGTAGATTGTAGAATGAAAGACAGTTCAAATCCTTCTACGTCAACTTTTTGGCCCATTGAAATTTAAATTAGTAAAATTTGTCTCCATTAGAAATTGTAAACTGTATTGCTGACTATGAAGTAAATGTCTATCACTCCTTTTTCATGTCCTCCTCCTCTCCTGGAATGTTATAGTATGCAGTTCTGATTGCACAGTAGGATTGCTGAGGCTGGTGGCAGACCAGGCAGCAGGAAATATAGAAGAATGGGAGCTAGAAGGGTAACTGAGAACTTCTCTAAACAGCAGACCAAAGGAGCACTGTATTTTCACAGATGGCATTCAACACACACCCTAAGATGTAAGTAGGGTGTTATTATGGTATGTAGCGGAGAAGACTTTCAATTACAGCTTAAAAGACTTAGGGGACCCGTTCTGACTCTGGATTTATTAGCTGAATAGCCATGGGAAATGATAATGATATGAAGACTGACTACGCCAGGCACTGGGCTACGTGTTTTGCCTCTAAAAACATTTAATTCTCACAATGACCCACTGAGGTAGATTCTATCATTTTTCCTTTTTTATAGATGAAGAAGCTAAAACACAGGCAAGGTCATATAACCTAACATTTGAGTATAGTTAGTCAAACTTCAGTTACCTGAGTCAAAGCCTCAATTATCTCACTTAAAAATGGATATGTTGGGCCAAACAATGTCTAGATTTCTTTCTGGCTTTAAAACATTATGATTCGAATTATATTAATTATACCCATACTTAATATACTTAGGATTAATCTGTTTCTGAGTTGTTCCCTCTTAGAGAACTGAGTCTAAAGGCAAATTTCTGAAATCTGGTGTCTTTTTCCTAACCATCCCTTGTGTTTCAGTTGAGTAGGACCATATTGTTCCCTGTTTCACCAAGAATGCCTTACCTCAATCTCCATGTATTGGAATTCTATCCATCCTTCAAGAGCCAGCTGAAATACCACCTTCTTCAGACCCATTCTCAATCTTTGCATTGGGGGTTTGGGAGAAATACGTGTGTTAATGAAAGGGAAAGATATAGGCTAAGAAGAAGAAAGGCTGGATGGAGGGAGACACTTACAATTGAGGAAAGATAAGAGAACTGTCAGTAGTGCTGTTGATGACTTGCAGTAGCAAAGCTTTCCCTGTGATGGGAACAGTGAAGCCACCAAAGTTATAGTCAGTGGCCAGCGAGTAGCTGTGAATTGAAGATTAGATGAGATAACATGTGAAATGTCTACTACAGTGATCAGAGGGGCAACAATATGACAGCTCCGAATTCCATTGCTACCACAAGAACCCGCTCATCTCTGTCATGCTGATGAAGGCTGCCATCCTGCCCAGGAAGGAGTGGCACAAGCAGAGGTGAGAATAGATTTGATGGGTGAAAGAGAAGTCAGGAGTTATATATATGGGAATGGAAAGAGAAAAATAGGAGCCAGAGCTAGAGTAGTTGAGAGGAAAAGGAAACATAAAGGAATCCTGGTGGAGAAGAGGATAGAAGGGGAAATGGAAGCAAAAGGGCAGAGAGGAAAAAGAAAGAGGAAAGGAGTTCTGAGGAGTGGAAAGAAAAAGTCTGTGCACCCCTGCAGAATCTGACCCCGAGGAGGAGTCCCAGAGGTAAGCAGGTGCCACACTCAAGCCCGGAGTGCCAGTCACTTGCCACTGTGCTTTTAGATCCAGCCTCCTTTCCTGCTCTGACGGTGGTGTAGCAGTCCGACCCCCGCCCTCTGTCATCTTGCCCACTGGCTTCTGCTTTCTAACAATGGATGGCCCTGGAGGGTGGAAAGAAGAAAGAAGCCAGGGTATTTCTCACATTCTCTTTGCTTTGGGAGGCATCTCCAGTGGCATGGCTCTAGCTCCCTGCGAACAAGCCCTTCCTGATTCTGGCAGCCTCCCTCCTCTGCCCCTCCAGCCTCAGGGGAGGAGATGCATCCAGCAGTTGGTGATCTCAGTATTGCCTCACCTTCCCCATGTTGTACTTCCAGTTCCTTCAACACCTTTGTGTAACAGATTCACTGCATTAACTCATCACTATTGAAGTATCTGGGAAAGAAAACTTCTTTCACTTGGGTTCATCCTCAGAGTTCAAAGGCAGCTTTCCCAGGGAGACCGGAAGCAGAGCATCTGGAGAAAGAAATCCAGCCATCCCAAGAGTCAGGAAAGGTCAGAGTGTACTTCTACAGTGTTTGATTGAAGAGTGACAAATCTATATTAGGTGCCAGAGTTGGGGGACTCTTAGCCTAGCAATTATTGGTGAAATGCCTGGGTTCATGGCCATTCATGTCTATTCTTCCATGATGTACTACTATATTCCCTTTGATCACCTGAGCCTTAGGTTAAGGAGCACTTCAGTTTTATTCCTCCAACAGTTGTTAAGTGATCATTATGAGTATGGAGGACACATAGCTAGGTGTGGTGAGGAGAAGACAGACACAGGAGAGATGGACAGCATTCTCAGTTTTTGGAAGTGTTCACTTTTTGCAATATGAGGGTTGTGACCATCTATTAGGAAACCCTCTTGGAGATTCTCTTGAGTTTCTCAAGTCCCAGCAGAGCTACAGACACTCAGAGACAATTATTCTTACAATGTTCATCTCTCCCACCCCCAGAGCACTGTTAAAACCAGGCTACTGTTCTTAAGGAATTCCCAGGTTCGTGGGGGCACAGAGTAGGCACATGACTGACCCTCAAGCCAGACTTGATGCCAGTCACAGGGAGGGGTCTGCATGGGGGTTGGAGAAGCTGCACAGAGATGATAGGAAATCCGAGTCTATGTGGGGCTTGAAAAGTGGAGGGAGCTACAGGGTTTTCTGGTTTTCTGGCAGAGAACAGAGTAGGATCCAAATCAATTGGGAAAGGACAGAGGCATCTGAGGTGCTGTCTATAGGGTCTTAGGGGTGAGGGCTGGGCAGTGGAGAGGAGACTGAAAGTGGAGTCCCGGTTGTGGAAAGAAACTGGGAGAGAGAAAACTCTGAGACTGAGGGATGGGGGCTTGAGGCCATGGGGAGTCATCAGAGGATCTTGAACACCGTGAGGCAAGGTCACTTCTGGAATGGCAACTTTGCTGCGTGGAGGACAGATTGCAAGCAGAGAAGCTGGAGGCAGGGGCAGGAAATGCCGGCTCCCAGAGATAGCTTACATAGGAAGCCTAAGCTGGACCATCGCCGCGGAGGGGGCACATTAACATTTGAGCTGCTTTTCTATCCACTCAAGGGCAAGCTTCCTCCGGGGGTGAGTCCCCCCTTTTACAGCTAGATGATATGTAGTCTCCAGCCCCAGAAGTTTCAAATTTCTCCTTGCCAAGGTCGGGTCACTACAGGTGGGCGATTGCGAGCCCTGGGCCAACGTGGGGCACCCCCGGCAGCCGCCGCGACTGGTCCCCTCCAGGCCCGGGCGCAGCCGCGGGCCGTGCCGGGCAGGGCGCTCCGGGAGCTGCGCGGCGGCTGCTTGAGGAGGCCTGACGGGCGGCGGCGAGAGGCTGTGCCCCAGTTTGTGTCCAATCAGGGAGTGCGGGCTGTGCCCCGAGCCGGGCAGCAATGCGTAAACAAACCCACGGCAACTCCTCCGCCCCCTCGGCGCGCTCGCCCCGCGCCCGCCGCCGCCGCCGCCGCCGCCGGCTCGGCTCTCCTCGCGCCCGCCGCCCGCCGGGCCGGCCCAGCCCCCAGCCCCGCGCCGCTCGCACCCCCGCGGCTCCGCCCCGCCCCCGCCGGCGCGGGCTCCTCACCTACCGCCCCACGCGCGCGCGCTCGCGCACCACGCGCCCCGCGCGGCCCGCCCGGATCGTGGCCTCTCGAGAGCAAGGTAAGGGCGATGCGCGGGGACACAGGCGGCTTCCCCGCCCGGCGTGGCCCGGGGAAGTTTCTGGCGTCGCCGTTTTCCGCTGGGCCGGGGGGAGGCCCCGGCGCCTGGCGAGCCGGGAGGGCGGGGGCCGCCCGACTCCCGGGGGTCACAAGTTGCCCAAGCTGACATTGGTGCGGGCTGCGCGGCGGGGCGGGCGGGGCGCGGAGAGGGGCCGGAGGCGCGGCGGGGCGGGCGCGGGGAGGGCCCCGAGGAACTTTCTCCTTCCCAGAGGGGCTCCTTCCAGCCCCGGCCGCGGCCCCGCCGCGGAAGCCGCCGGCTCCCTGGCTGGAGAGAGACCATGAAATGTGTTTGAAGAAGCTGACGCAGTTTGTGACGCTCGCGGCTTCCAGACGGGGACCGGCCACAGCAGCGCCTTCCCGGGGGAGGGACGAGGCGATTCGACGCTCGGGCCCTTCCCCGCCCGGAGCCACGCGCCCGGGCGCCTAGTTTGGGGCCCGTGGGCTCGCGGCGCGAGCATCCAGTCCTGGCCGGGAGACGGGCCCGGGCAGCGCGCGTCGCTTCCGTTTTGATTAGCTCTGGTTATTATATAAGCTGTCACGGAGAGAAAAGGGGCGAGCGGGAGGCGCGTTGGCGAGGGCGCGTCGGCCTTCTGCGAGTGGCAGGGAGGCGCCGGAGGCACGGCCGGGCGGGGACCCACCTGTGCGCCCTCCGCGCCCACTGCGGGAGCCGCCCGCGCGCGTGCCGGAGGGGGGTCCAGGGCGGAGGGACATGCCCGGCGCTCCCCTCGCGGCCCTGGGAACGCTCAGGCATCGGCCGAGACGTGCCGTTTCCCCTCCGCCACCTCGCCTAGGTCTACATGTTTCTGGCCCCAAGCGTTTGTACTTTGAAACATTTGTTTAATATTAAGGAAGCTGCGCGTGCGGCCGTCATAGTACGCCCGGAACGTGTGGCCGCGAGCGCCAGGGCGGTGAATGAATCATCGCCCCGCGGACCGGGCACCGATGATTCATGCGGGGTACACACACGCGCGCGTACTCGCGGTGTGCCTCTGACCCAGGGACAGCGGCCCTTCTGCAGCGTGACGCTTGGAGGGGCGGGGGAAGAGTTAATGCAAAAGGTTGGTGGCTTATTTTTCCCCCCTGCCTAATTTTGGGGTACTTTGGGGATGTCGGTTTCCCCAAATTTCCCAGGCTTGTTTCACGTTATTGGGAGAGTTACGGAGATTCCACCTGGCTACATTAGTAAGTCGGTGGAGGAGCGCTGATTCGCTGCAGGGCTGGGTCCCGTCTCTTTCAGAATTTGGATGGTGTCAAGTGAGGCATTGAGCTCTGAAGGAATCCTTTCAGTAATTGTCTCAGCTTAAGTGTCGCTAAAGTAATTAGCAAAACTTAAAAAGTTCTTTAATCTAAAAGAAAAAAAAGTGGCTCCTAAGTAGAGGTAATCCTAATGAAAGATGAAGGTTTTTAGATTTCCTTTTTAAAAGCCCAATCCTAAAGGGAACTTACTTTTCCATTAATACAGAACTTTCGACCAAAGTGACCACCCTTAGAGACTAACTTGACTTATTCCCCACCCCACTACATCCTTACAGGATTGAGTAAAATTTTCTCATCCTTTAGGGCTCATTTCAAAGGGCATCTACTTAGCAAGGCCCTCTTGATCACCTCAAGTAGCTTTTTATCCCTTATCCCAGGAACCACCCCCTAGTTCTGTTTTATATTCTTCACAGCACTTAATCGCTATCTGAAATGATTTTGTTTAGATGTTCCGTAAGTCCTGTCTCTTTGCACTAGAATGTAAACTGCACTGTGGCAGGGATTTTTGCCTGTTTGTTTACTACTCCAGCTCTAGCACCTAGCACAGTGTCTGGCATATATTAGGCACTCAGTATTTGTTGATGTAGTGAATGAATAAATTCCTTTTTCCTGATTTCTTGGTGGGACTTTGACAGTTGAAATTCATTGCCTTTTGTGGGCAAGACACTAAGATTGTACAGTTCTCATTTTCTTTTTTTTCCTTCCGATTTTCTTTTGATTCATTTCCTTCTCTGTGCTGTTTGTAGCACAAGGTGGGTTTGAGCATCATATCCTAAGACGCCGAGTATGAAGGCATATGGGAGCTTTGTTAAGAGAAAATTACTGTATAAGTCATTAAAATTACTGTATAAATCATTAAAAATATTATCTGTGCTATTTGGAAAAAAAGTGCAGGATATTGAAATAGATTTAGCAAAATCAAGTTCCCACAGAACTATGTTTCTACTCGTATTTGAAATACTGGTGTTTCTATAGTCCTCCCTCTCCACTGCCTGTGCACCAGCTCAAATTTAACTGCAGTTCAGGAAGGTCCATAGTAGGTAGCACTTAATATGAAGTATTAATTTAACTAAATGAATACAAGATTTACATCTCTGCAGAGGCCTTAACTCTACTTTGTTTTTAATGTTGATAACTCCGTAAAAGAGTTGATACGAATTATTTAAGATTGTATTTTAAACATCTTAAATGTATTGTAAAGAATTTTTAAAAAGCTGTAAGTCAATATACAATGGAATGAGGATTCAAATGTAATGTGTAATACCACCTTCTTAGAGTATAAACATTGGTAAACTTCATATTATTATAAATACTAAGCTTTAGAACATGTTAGCTTTAATTTTGTAGCAATATTTTTAGAATTCAGTACTTTCAGAGTCACTGCTAAAGAAGAGTAGGCACCCAGCAGTTCCCTTTTCTTAACAGTAGCTGTAATCACTTTGAGAAGCATAATCTTAAGAGGGAGCTCAGAGATAATAGAAATTTAAATCTAAAAGGGACCTTGAAATTGCTCAGCACAGTCCATTCCTTTTTATGAAACCCTTTGCTGAGGAAATTAAGGCTCCTTGAGATGACTTGGCCAAGATGCTGGACAGGGATTAGAACCACGTGTCCTGACTTGCTGGAAGTCCTTGTATTAGCCAGAGCCCCCCATAGGTGGGTGAGGATTGGTTGCTACCATTAATGGATTATCTGCCTCTTGCTTATTAACTCTTAGTAAAACTGTGTCTTTTTCAACTTTGTACCCTCCCGTGTGCCTTGGACATCTAGAAGCTCAACAAATACTTGTTGAATGTGGTTGGGCAAAATATTTTAAATTTAAAATATACTTAAGAACTGAAAAAGCTGGAAAATGTATCTCTTCCATGTTGAAGAAGTTTTCTGACGAGAGTCCAAATGTTGCCAGTAATTAACCTTAGAACTTTATAGTAATGAAGCTGTAATTTTCATGCCTCCAAGATTTCAAATAAAATGGCTTACAACTTACAAGTGTGCGTGCTTGCTTAGTTGGCATAATTATTCATTGGAGAAGCAGTAGGAGACAGGAGTCAAGACATCTGGTAGATCTTGCCTCTGCCGGAGTGTCCAATTAGAAAAGCCATACTTTACAGCCAGATAGAATTGGGGCTGCTCAGCACTGCTTCTAACAAATAGGACTCTCCAGAGCAAGTTACTTAACTTTTTGAACATTCCCTCATCTCTAAAATGGGGGCAATAACCACTTACCCCGAAGGATTGTTTGAGGTGGGGTTAACATATGTAGAGTGCCTAGTGTACACTAGTCCCTAATAAATAGTAATGGCTATAATTATGACTTGCTATTTTTGAGACCATGGGAACAGCTTAATCTCTCAAAGCCTCAGTTTTCTCAACAGGACAGTTGGTGGTTGAAATAGGAGTGTTGGGGAGTTAAATGATCCCTAAGATCTTGTCCATCTCTATAGTTAAAAGAACCAGTAAAGAACGCACAGTACTGCAATTTTAGTTAAAATGATTCATATATATCCTTAATCTAATAAGAACTACAAAATGGTTAGTTTCTAAGCCCTCTTAAGAATTTGGCATAATTAACTCTAAGTACATTTTCGTTATTTTATATGCTCTATGGTGGATACAAAGTTAACTTGAATATTTCAATGTCTCATTCAGCTTTGTACCAATAAAGCAGTATAAGGAGTGCATGGGTTAACCTGGCATAGACACCCTTTCTTTGGGGAGCTTAAGAGTTATGTAGGGAGTTTAAGACAGGTAACCAAAGGCTGTAGGTTGTATTCATGGAAGAACTGTTAGAGAGGCATAAAGAAAATGCTTTGTGATTGCAGAGAAAGAAAAATTGGGGAACTCTTAAGGAATCTTGAGCAAGGCCTCAAATAACTTGTAGGATTTCAACTGACAGAGGTATAGGGACCCACCTGTACTAAGACTTGAAGGAAAGGCTATATGAGCACATCCAAGAATGATGAGAAATGGGGTTAAACTGGAGAGAGAGGAACCTGGAGGCAGGATAGTGGGACAGAAGGCTAGATGGCAAGGTTAGGACCATATTGGGAGTATCTTGAATGCTGGGCTAAGAAGTCTTTTTAGTAGGCAGTAGGTAACCATCAAAGGTGTTTTAAGTGAGGGAATGTGTGATTAAAGCTCTGCTTTAAGAAGATTAATCTGCATGGGAAGAGCCATGGGTAGTTCTAGTTAGAAAGCTTTAAAAAAAGTCTCCAGAAGAGAAGCAATGAGAGCCTAAAATAGGGTGGGGACAGGTGGGTAGGGTGTGATTCTGTGGAAGTAAATCCAACAGGACTTGTTGACTAGTAAGATGGAGATATCCAAGACGGAAGCTGAGTGACTTTGGTTAGCAATGGCAGGAACTGAAATTGTCAGGAAGGGCCAGTAATAAAGGCACTTGCAGAGTTGAGGTTGCAGAAAAACAAAGAAAAGGCATCTGCAGTCAGCAAATATTTGTCTAATTAATGGAAACCATCATAAGTTTGAATTTGGATATGTTAATGTTTTTGTGCCTATGGACCATCCAGATGGATGCGGGCCATTAAAAACAGGAAGATTTGGGGACATCCTCATGAAGGGGGATGGCAAGCTGTGAAAAGAGTTCAGAGTGTGGGCAAGAAAAATAAAGGGCCAGGGCACAGCCTTGGAAAAACCAGAATTTGTGGACTTGGAGGAAGACAGAAAGAGGCTAACAGGATGCTGAGAAGAAAGAAGTAGGA